TATCTAAATTGGAAGGGCCTATGGCAGGAGCTTTTGGCTGAGACCGCCCGCGCAAATCAACAGCGCGGCAGTGAAGCTTTGTCATGGACTTATAATATGCTTTCCGGACAAGGCCAATACTCTGATGATCAAAATAGATATCCATGGCCAGTGTATACCCAGATCTCTACTGCAGCTATAAAGGCTTGGAAGGCCCTTTCACTTAAAGGGCAAGAGAAACTGGGCATTACACAGGTTAAACAGGAGCCGGATGAGCCCTTTGCTGATTTTGTGGCACGTGTAATGCAGAAACTGGGTGTCAAATTAGTGACTGGCATCCCTTATAATCCACAAGGTCAGGGGATAATCGAACGTGCTCACCGCTCTATTAAGGAATTGTTGCAAAAACAAAAAACCACCTGGGAATCGCTTGGCCTCGCCAGTCAGAGCCCTCGGGCCACTCTAGCCCTGGCTCTCTTCACCATCAATTTTTTACAGCTGGATGAGAAAGGCCTTAGTGCTGCAGATCGTCATTCCCTCAACACGGCGCAAGAGCAATCTTGGGTCAAGTGGAAGGATGTTCTGGAGTCCAAATGGAAGGGCCCAGACCCAGTTATTAGGCAGGCTCGAGGAGCCATTTGTGTGTTTCCACAGGACGCCCCAGTTCCGGTTTGGGTTCCAGCTCGATTGACTCGTTCCTGTCCATCACCGCCTTCTGACGTTTCTGCAACCGCTGGAGTGCTTACACCAGGATCTGACTTGGGGAAGATTCATGCAACCCCGCAATCAGAAACTCCTCCTACAATCCCACAGGACAATGGTGCCCCGCCCAGTGCAAACATGGCTGATGGTGCAACTAAGGGTCTGTATGGCGCTTGTGAGGACCGTGATTGCTGAGCCACGATGAGGAGTTCTGAGTGTTTTTCCACGACCCTTACCGGTCGCCCACTCAGCCCGAGTGTTTCCTTGATTTTTTCTTCTTTGGATTTGCCTTTTCTCCCTTATGATGATATTAAGGAGAATGTGAGTAATTTTTTATTCCCCCTACAGGACACGCTTTATTTTCAAGCATTTCCTGAGAATTTTAGTGTCAAGGTTTATGTGTTATTCCTTTTCAAAATGTTTCAACGGCTGCTAATCTTTCTTGCCAGCTTTCTTCTTATCTTTTAGGAAATTGGACGAGAGAATTTGATATTTTACAGTTGGAGTTGAGAATTGCCATTGTCCAGATTAATTCTACATGGGTGGATCCTGTTGTTGCTGAAACCCTGGCCACTTGGATTTGGAACATCACTTCCCATATTAAGGAATGGGTGGGAGTGGTTGTGCTGATTCTGCTCTTGTGTGCAGGCTGTGCCTTATGCCTTTTTTGCCTGTGTCGTCTGAGACACCGCACTCAGCGAGATCGTGTGGCAATACATCAAGCCCTACTAGCCATGCAGTATGGTGACTCCCCCATGGTATGGTTGAGCATGCTTCAATGGGTTTAGTTAAGAGCATGGACATCATGGCTCCTGCACCTCAGGCCATTATGGCATTGCACTGAGTTCGAGCATGATGCACCTGACTAGCCCTTGCACCTCGCAGGACTTATCCATTGCACGCGAGAGGGTAGTCAATCTTATAACTAACTTGTCGAGACATTGCTCTTTACAACCACCGTGGTTGTAGCCCATGACGGGTAAGATAGACCCAGACAATTATCGGTCTAAGACAGGGACTACGTCAAGCCACGCAGCCTCCCTATGACGGATCGTGCGCCTTGAGTCTACAACCTAAGACAGGCCCATACCAGCTTATTTTTCTATTGTATAAGAAGGAGGGAGATGTTGCCAGCCATATCTGTATGTACTGGCTACATGCCGTACCCAAAATGGCGCCGGCCAGAGAGGCTAGATCTTGGTGCCTGGTGGATAGTCACGTAGCTTTGGCAGTACCACGCATGCGCCTAACGCATGCGCAGTGAGCTGCGGCGCGGCAGGCACGTAAACACTGGGACTGACGAATCCAGTCGCCCAGAACCCTGCGTAATCATGACGCCGACCTATCATCGGCGGAGGCGGGGCCAGACAGCACATAAGAGCAAAAGGCCTACCGGGATTCGTGCTTCCCTCTTCATGTTAGTGTGCACAATAAATTTTACCGCAGGAGACTTCACTCGCGTCTGCGTCTTATTGCTGGGCGGTAAGACACGTGGGCGCGACACAAATCAGCAGATAATTCTCTCCCCAAAATTTGTTTAGCTTGCAGAGACTTAGGATTAGATATCATGACATAAATCAAGATACGAATATTTTATTATTTGCGGTTTTTTATTATTTGTAACAATTCTCAAGGGAATTTGGTCTATATTACTCCAATTTAACATAGTTAATTGAGTAACTAATTAAGGCTTATAATTGTAAATTGCAGTCTTACTAAGTTTATAAGCAGTATTGGAACATTTAGCGGTAATAAAGGCTCAACACATTTCGATGTTTAATGAAAGCTTTATGCAAAATTATCTCCACAGGAAGATTTTTGTTTATTAGATAACTTAGGTACAGGAGAATTCAAATACAAAACAAAATTAAAGGCAGTTAAAAGTTTAAAGAAACTTAAATTAGCTGTAAAGTCTACTTAAAAGGAAATTGTGAATTTTGCTAAATTTTAAAAATAATTTATATTCAAAAGCAATTATAGTTCATTCCATAATATTAAATCATAAAATATAAAATCTCTGATACTGCTACAGGATTTAATTGATATATTTCAACACATACATGAAAAAATGCACAGGTTCTCTAGCAATTAAGGAAATTCAAATAAAAACTACAATGAAATTCCACCTAACTGTAGTGAGAATGGCCTGCAAACAGAAATCTACACATACAACAATTGCTGGTGATGTGGGGGAAAAAGCACCCTAATCCATGGTGGGTGGGAATGTAAACTGGTACCATCACTATGGAAGTCAGCACAGATTCCTCAAACATCGGAAGATAAATCTACCACATGACCCAGTCATCACACTACTGGGAATATATCCAGATGAAATGAAATCTGTGTAACAGAGAGGTACCTGCAACCTTAAGTTTACAGCAGCACAATTCATAATGCCAAAGACACGGAAACAACCCAGATGCCCATCAACAGACAAATGGATAAAAAATATAGTTACTAATCAACCATAAAAATGAAAAATGAAATCTTGCTGTTTGCAAAAAAATGGACCTGATTCAGCTGAAAACCACCGTGCTTAGTGAATCAAGCCAGTCCCCAAAAGACAAATGTCATGTTTTCTGATATGTGACAACACTCAGGGTACACACACAAAGACACAAAACTAAAAACTCCACTAGGGAGATAAGCATACTGGGAAATAAGAGATGTATTTAACATGTATGCTTACTCCCAAATAATAGAATTCTCATGACTATTATTAATTACACTTTACCCTTTTCCTACATTTGTGGTCTCAAAACACATTTATAAACATTAGAAAATTAAGTCTGTATCAGTGAAATGAATAACAATGCCATTGTAGCAAATAATAAGAGAAATAACTAGAGGGGACAAATAATAAGAGAAGGCTAGGAGGGGAGCAAGGGGGGGTAGTGTTGGGGGGAAACGATCTTCTGTGCATGTAAATCTGTATCAAAGGAAAAAAACTATATATATTTTAAAAAGATTTAACAATTCAAGTGCTAAAAATAAATCAGTTAATGATTCTTACAAGTAACAACTTCTAAGAATCTTCCATTATCATTACATGGATAATAGTATGTCAAAGGATCACAATGTTTTCACTAATCCATGATAATACACAGTAGAAAAAGTGTAATCTATAGGCATGAGAGTGAAATTCTGAAACATGATTACTGCATATAGCCTTTGTTTATGCTCCTGAGCAACAGTAGGTTTTTCTGATTTTTTTGTTTTCTGGGATTTTGCTGTTGTTGTTCTTTGTTATTTTCTACTTGCCATTTGTTGATATGACTACCTACCTAACAGAATGTTAAAACCTCTGGGGAAAAATAAATAAGCCAAAAATAAACAAACAGATCAATAAATAAATAAATAAATAAAATAAGGGTTTTTTTAAACTAACAATTGTGCAAAAATATCTGCAGGGTCAGATTAATCTGGAGCTCAAAATATATGGTGCTCTTTAGCAAAATAAGAGAACCAGAGAGAATATAAGTACGTCTTAGGTTTCAATCTAAACCATCAACTGCATTGTTCCTGGGATTTAAAAGGAAAGGACTAAAGAACTATTTGTTTTTTCTTGGACTGTGGAGAAGTCTAAAATTAAAGTCTATATTTTTCATGTTAACATCTTGAAACAAAAAAAGGTTAAAACTTGATATTCTATTTATTTTTAAGATACCAATTTGTAATTTAGACTACACTCAAGGATTTAATGGTGCTACTAAAATATGTAAAGATTTCAACAGATAAATAGTAAAAAGACCAAAGTCTAGAAAGAAAATAGGCTAGAGTTATAAGCAATAATCAAATGAAAAATATACAACTTCACTCACATAAATTTTAAAATAGTCACAAACTCTTAAAAGTTGTAACAGTACAGATCTTTCAAAAATTTCACATATACATCCTATATGACTTAGTTACAGCAGATTATAATTCCAAACATAGTAAGTTATTCACTTGAAGGTATCTTAAATCCTTCTGAACGAATCTGCAATTCTCACCTTTCCATTATTTCCCTCTTCCCTTCCCATTCCATGTCCCATTCACCCTAGAACTCAAGCCAAACCCCAAAAACCACTAGGTGCATATTTCAGTTTTTGCCTAGTCAAAGAAAAACCTAATTGACATTACAACTCTAGGATTTACTTTTTGAAATACTAGGTTCTAGAACTCTGACTAACTGTAAGAGTTTATACTGTCTCCACCCTCTTCCCTCTACATCACCCCCTCCACTTTCCCACCCCCAGATGAAGGTTAGGTTGATAAATGGATTTGGGAGGTGAAATAAAGCCAGACATCAAATAACTTACTTGAAATCCATCTCTTACCTTCTGTACTTAACCCTGGACTTGATGTGAACTTGGCTACATCAACAATTTTTACAGCAAATTGCTGCCCAGTTTCTCTGTTGATACATCGCCGTACAACACTGAAGGGACCCCTAAAAAATGAAAAGTCAATTTTAATTCATTCATTTTTCTTAAGTTCTTATTTCCCATCATCATCATATTGTGTTTATTTATCTATTATAACCATTCTATCTTAGCTTCCTGATGGAATACAGCTTTCAAAATAAAGTTTAAATAATGCAAGTTTTACTATGCTTTTCTATAATTCACGAGGTAAATCATATTTTTAAATATTATTAAATCAGAAACACAGAAGCCAAATAATTGAATTTACAATTCAAAATCATTTTTTGAAACTCTGAATAGAATTCTTACATCCAAAGCAAGAAATCATTATAAAAGTGTATACATATTGTAAACATATTATACAAAATAAAAAGACTATAGACGTGGCAGTGGATAGAAGAACTTCATTCTTTTGAACCAAAAACTGAAGTCACTCTGGATATCTTCCTCTTGTCTTTGCCACCACTTATCTAATCTTCAATAATAAGTCCTAAGGAAGTTATCTCAAATATTTGTTGAAGTTGCCTCCTTTCCTCTAGGTTCCATAGCACTACCAGGATTACTGGATTCATTCTTACAGCAATGTTCTGAAAATGAAAATTCCATACTATGTCCTTGTTTAAAACAAAGAATTTGAATAATGTGTATCTAGTTAAAAATCAAACTACATAAATGTTTTACAAATAAAAATAAGAAAGAACATACTGCAATGAAACATAGGCAAAAGACTTGCACAGGCACTTCACAGGGAAAGTTTTTCATAATCTGGTCTCCAATCTCATGTGAAATCAAAGGGAAATCCTTGATCCTCCTAAAATGTCCAGTGAGAATTGTTTTCAATTGCTACAGGAAACGAAACTATTTCTACCAGCGAAGTTACTGGTCCAACTATTCGCTAACCTAATCCTCAAGGTAATCCAAACTGGTAGCTATCATTACCCGTGCTGCAGTTGGATAAGCTGAGATGACTAGGTGGGAATGTCTGGGCCCAGGCAATACACACACATGGTCCATGTGATTTAATACTTGTCAAGTAATTTATCTCACTTGATCTTAGCCAAAAGGCTGAGAAGTGATAAAATAATTCATCTTAATTAAGATAGTCCAAAGGACAGATTTTTGTATTTGAATCAACTATTAATGTAAAATGCCATAATAATATGCTATTGTAATTTATTTGAAGGCTAGAGTACGTTCTGAAATACGGGTTTTTTCCACATTCTACAAGGGTTAGTTTCATATTTTTTTAAAATCAATCCATAATATTTATATAGCACATACTGATCAAATCATGGTGATCTGCACTTGGAGCCTTTGAGCTCTTTTAATTCTTCATATGATACATGAAGTTCCTAGTGAACTACAGTCACCCTTTGTTGTGGAAAACTAGAACATGTTACCTCTAAGGATGCTCTGGCATCAATGAACTAATCTCCCTTTACCATCTTCTCCATCCCCCTCCTCCCAGCTAAGATGGTTGCAGTCATTGAATACACACACTCATGTATGTATACATGTGTACATTTCTCCCTTTCTTGAGGGGGAAAAAAAGCCACACTCTTCGGGTAGTGAAATACACCTGGATAGAATCGCTCAGTCAGCACAGAGTGAAGTTCTTCATTTACAGTAGAATGATTGCAATACTGTCCACGTTAAAGCAAAGCCTGTCCTACTTTCAATTAGACAACACATGAATTTACTCCAACCCCAACTCAAACATTTCTCCAAGACCACATGAATGCCTTCATGAGGATATCAATTATACTGCAGCTTCAAATCTCTCTTCAAGAAACCTAACAAAGCTAACGTGGAAGGAAAAGAAAGCATAGCAGTGCACCTTTCAGAATTCAAAAGAAAGAAGACCTTTCAGTAACTACTCAAAACTGTTCAAAGAAATTCCTTTGTAAGAAGACAACATAAAAAGTAAAGTAGGACTCCCACAAATGTCTTCTTTCTCAACCTGGGTGTGTTACACATGATTATTTATCTGGCAATAGCTAGCAGTTTCAGTAAATGCTTAAGGTAATTGGTTTTTGTCCACACATATAAACCCTTGGGATTCTATTTACATATCCATTTTGTGAGGTGGTTTAATTCACTACTTCTTCTTTGAAAACTTTCTGAAAATTGTACATGGAATTGTTCAGGGTCAATCGAATCAATTCTTTGCTTTTTTCCTGATTGCACAAAGGTCAAGAAGAAAGCATAGCTCTCCCTGCCATCGTTTTAGTAATAGTAAAACGAAGTGAATTAGGGAGAAAGAAGGGAAAAGGGAACACCAAGACAAAAAACATAGAAATGCTTTTAGGATCTGTGAATAAAAGTAAAACAAAAATCCTCAGTGCTTTAAGCTAATTTTATGTGGCAAAGGAAATCCGTCTATCTATCAACTCTTGGGGACTTGAAAACAGGTCACAGACAAATCATTTTTAAGGAGGGTCCATTAACAATATCCACACAATTAATAAAGGTGACTGAAATTCAATATCCTACAAAGATATCAAGTTAAATTTTAAAGTTTTCTTTGTGATTTAATTTATCAACTAGAAACTCAGTAGAAAATCTGGCTTCATTTCACATCTTATAAAAGGAAAGAAGCGAGAAGGCATGTGTAACCACACCTAACATATCATACCTATTAAATTATACTTGAATGAGAATTTAGGGAACAGTAAATTTCAGGAAGCCTAGGTTTCATTCTGGCCCATACACTTTTTATCTTTGGGACACCCACAACCCACATAGAATGGCTGGCTCAAATACTAGCCATTAGGTCCCAGTTTCCTGTTAACCCACATCCTGGTACATAGCAGGTAATCGCTCAGGTACTTGGGTGCCTGTCACTCTCATGGAAAACTCAAAGCAGTTCTTAGTTCTGGGCTTCAGCTTGGCCCAGCCCTAGCTGTTGCAGGCATTTGGAGAATTAACCAGCAGATGGAAGATTTCTTGGCTCTTTGCCTTTCAAATAAAATGAAAAATAAATAAAATTCTAAAAATAAATAGATCTTTCTAGATCTACGTTAAGTGAATCCTTGAGTATTTATATGGAAGGAAATATTGATACACTTCTATGCTATCATCGCAAATTTCTTTCTCATATCTCTGCTAAGGCCAGAACACTAAACAAAAAGTAATATTAACTGACAGGATTTTAGATTTGGTTAAATGTATGTTCTTTACCAACTTTTTATAAACACTAAATATTGATTGGGATTGTAACATAAGGTTTTACTTGAGGCAGATGGCTGCTTACAGAAGTCTATGTTTTTAAGCAAAAGGTCAATTAAGCCAGAATATGCTGCAAGTGAATAAAATCATCACATCTTGAAAGGTTTTAAAAAGAATACAACTACGTCCCTATGGCAGACAAAGAATCATTTCTAGGTTTCATTTATGTGAAGAAAGGTTAAGTCTTGGAAATAAGCAATTCAGATTCCAAATGCAGATTAAATCAAAACAGGAGAGCAGAACTAAATTCCATAATTTGCTGGCTTGCAGGATAATAGGATAGACTGATCACTATGCATCTAACTTATGTCCCACCCAGATCCCCACTAGAAAGATACAAAAGGTTTAAATAACATAAACACAGGGCAAACAAGTGAAGTGGCCTCAGTCAGAACAAGAGTGAGAGGCAAGAATCAGAGGGAGTAATATTAATTGATATAGTAGACTTCAGGGAAATTGGAATGCAATTAGAAAATAACTACAGACCACAAAAAGCTCATCAACTGGTAGCACCAGGGTAGCTGTGGAACAAGAAGTAAAAGGACATGGGGTCGAAACAACAAGGTTTGTATGAAATGGGTTAGAGAAGCTACACAGCACAGGTGAGGGCAGCTCCCTCATCCAAACATAGGCATTCTCCGGATGGGGTAAAATGGGGGTCTCAGTGCTATACAAACAAGGTCACTAAACTGGGGACTACACAGAAAACAAAAGGATGGTGTGGTCACATGCACACAGGATGCAGACTTCAAATGATCATTAGTAACCTCAGATATTACAACTGTGAAACTAAAAAAACTTTCAGAAAACGAAAGTTTTTTTAAAAAAAATAAATACACAGGTACCTGCAGGAGAATGCATCGAGATCTTGACAGCAACACTACAAGCAAGAAAATTGCAACACCTTCATAATCACAAAGGACAATAATTTCTAACCTTGAATTCTACATCCAACCAGCCAACCAATCATAAAGACAACAGACATAGAAAAAAAAAAACAATCATCCACCATGTACAATTTTTAAGGAAATAATTGTAGGATGTGTTGTTATAACAAAAGAGCAGACCAATATTCAATGCAAAGACAAGTGAAGAAAACCCCCAGGGGCCTAGAGTGATGGTTCAATTGGGTAATCCTCCCCTTTCAGGCACTGGGATTCCATATGGATGCCAGTTTGTGTTCCAGCTGCTCCACTTCCCATCCCTTTCTCTGTTTGTGGTCTAGGAAAGCAGAGGAGGATGGTCCAAGGCTGTGGGACCCTGCACCCATGTGGGAGACTAGGAAGAAGCCCCTGTCTCTAAGCTTCAGATCAGCTCAGTTCCAGCCACTATGGTCATTTGGGGAGTGAACCAGCAGATGAAAGATTCTTTTCTCTCCTTCCCTCCGTAAATTTGCCTTGGCAATAAAAACAAAATAAATCTTAAAAAAAAAAAAAAGTCCCCAGAAGTGTAAGGAGGGCAAAGCATAGGCCAACAGCCAGAAAACCATCAATTCAGATCCAGATCTGTGGATTCCCATGACCATTGATAACATTTGCAACCCGGAAGAAACAACGACCACCAAAGGCTAGCAAAACTGGATCCATATTCTCTTGGCTTGCTTTTCCTAGCCATGAGCTGATAATAGTCCTACTCTTCTGTGCTGCTGGAGAGGCAGAGGACTCTTATTTCATTCACAGCAGCTTCTGCTTTTCCAATTCCTGAGGGCTGAAGAGCCAGAAATGCAGGGCAGCCTATGTCCCCCACCACACTCCTGCTGGATGCTCAGTAGCTAGCCCTACCTTGCAGTGATGCTCTG